ACCAAACATACCCCTTTAAATAGGTATAGTTACAAGGACCAAACATACCCCTTTAAATAAGTATAGTTACTAGGACCAAACATACCCCTTTTCCTGATGTAAACACTCTACTCCATGAAAGTCAGAGACTTGATTAAATAGTCAGCACCTGGCACCAAGACAGCTTAAAAACAAGGTGCTGGAAATCTTAAAGGGTCTGGTTTGTGAAGACATCGGGCGGTGAGGGCAATGTAGTAGGAAAGGCACAGAGGGCACCTGTGGATGTGATGAGGCAATGGGAGCTGTGGGGCCCTGGACTGAGGTGAGGCATTGATTTTACGCAGTACCTGAGGGTGCCAGGCTCCTGAAGTGGCATTTAAGACATCAAGTCATTGAATCTAGGCAATGAGCACCATCTAGTTTGCAGGCAGGAGAAATGAGACTCTGAGTGGTCATATAATCTGGTTGTCACACAATTTCAAACCCAAATTAGTCTGCTTCAAAGCCTAAGCTCTTTCCACAATACCATGAGGCAGAGAAACTTACACAGGAGTGGGCGGCCTGAGCTTGCCCTCAGAGTCTGAAACTAGGACCCAGGGCACTCAGGGCTCCATCCTTCACAGAAGAGGAGTTAAGTTCCTCTGCAGGGAAGCAGTCCCATCAGCGGGTCCACAGCCCTCATTAGTAGCTACTGCATCCTCCTCTCTATCAGAGCAGCACCAGCTTTGAGCCATTGGCAGGGACTCAGACTTTTCTAGTTGTGAGGCTCTTAGGTTAGGTAAACAGGAGGCAGAGTGCCCAAAGATTCTGATAGGGAAGGAAGGATGTAGATAAATAAGCATCTTGCATACAAAATGCAGAGCTAGCTTAGGTTGTTGACTAAAGGAGGTTGAGAAAGAAGAACAGCTGGATTCAGCCTCTGGTTTCTGATGAAGCAGGCGACCTGATTCCTTTCTTTCTTCCTTTTGGTTGCACATAGTCAGGTCCCAGGTTATTAGGGTCAGGAAGCCCCAAGCTGTGAGGATGCTGGCTTCCTGTGCTGTCCGGCTTAGGGTAGCACACACTGGACTTGGGGGACTTAGAGGCAGGCATTATTAGTATTTCTGTCCTAAACCTACAGTTCTCAGCTCCCTAGGATGGTAGTTGTGGTAGCTAAGGTTGTGTGTCAACTTGACTGGGCTGCAGTTCTGAGTGACTTGGCAGCTGGTTGTAGTTATTTCCCATGATGAGACTGTAATACCTCCATGGTATAAACTGTCATTAGCAGCTAGGTAGTTGCTTTTGGGGTGTGACCTGCTTCCAGTACATAAGGAAAGCTATGAGCAAGGCTTCGAGCTTTTGGCACATCTGGACCCTGCATTTGGCCGCATCTTGGCCTGTGTTGCCTGTTGACCTTGGGACTGCTCCTGGGCTTGAATCAGTGGTCCGCCATGTTCTCCGCCAATCAGCCTCAGCATCCAGTAGCCGTGTGAGTCAGAAAATGCCTCTGGCTCCAGCGGGGCTAGAACAGGAGGCAGAGCTGAAGCCCAGGGTCAAGGGGCCTTCACCCAGCCCCTGGAGCTGGAACTCTGAACTTGGGCTTCTAGCCTCCTAAACTGTAAGTGAATAAATCCCTGTTTGTTAAAGCCAACCATTTGTGGTGTTTCTGTCACAGCAGCACCGGAGAACCAGGACCGTGGATCTGAGCAAGCAGGTCCTCTCTACACACAGCCAGGGTGGGAGGATCAGATATTCATTAGTGGACTGTACCCTGGCCCCACCATAGAATAAGGGTCTCAAGGCTAAGGCCATTCAAATAAACCTATTGGTAACTGCTTCAGTTTTTCCCATTCTTGCCCCACAAGTAGGCTCTCTAGCCTGTTGCCTGGAGACCTCTCTAATCTCTGCTGAATTCCTACTTCATGGAAGCAAGGAATACACTCAGGAGTGGAATCCATTTTAGGAATATTTTATTTGTCTTTTGAGATTACATGGTCATTATTGCTGATCTAATACAATCACTCAGAGAGATTTCCAAAAGCCTCTCAGGAATGGGGATCCTCAGAGGCTTTGTTTCCTTTCAGTAAGATGATAATGAGAACTAGATGATTATTTTTTGATATATATAATATATATATATATATATGTTTATATAGTCCAGAACTAGTCCATATATAATTTGCTGGTGTTGCCTATTTTCTTTCTGTAATTTTCCTTTATTAAAAAAGCTTAATGCAACAATGCATTTTGATTTCTTTGTTAAAACCATGACAAAGTTAATTTTGAGAAAACCACAGGAGCAGCAATTTTAGATCTGTTCAGAGAAAAGTCAAGCAGCAAAAAAGCTTTGCAGGAGTATGTGGCCACAGGGAGCCGTGCTCAAATGGGAGGGTAGAATAGGGAGGTGGGAAGGCTGAAGGTAGTTAGATCAGAGATATATATATAGATAGATAGATAGACAGATATTTTTTTAAATGAGAAAAATAAAATGGAATATTTCTATTAAGAAGGTTAAAAAAAAACACACACAAAAAAACCCAAAAAACAAAGCAACAGCTTGACAAGTAGCACAAATTCACTGTAGAGTAACTGGTATGCACCCCCCACAGACCAGGGCTAACGAGCCCTCTCCCATGCTTGCAGATATCCAGGATGCAGCTCAGGTGAGAGCTTGGAGGGAAGAAGACACATTTGCCCTAATTCCAAGAGTAATGGGGATAATGACCAGATCCCAACACTAAGGCAGAACCCCAAATACTCAAGAGGCCTTCCTCTCAGGTCCCCAGAGAAACAGAGAGAGGTCATATGAAACTCAGAGGCAAACACCTCAACACGGGCAGCAACACTCGCAAGCTAACCTAGGCCCCAGTGAGGCTCCCTGTTCACAGGAGCAAGGCAGTGTCCTCTGCAGGTATGCACAGTGAGCTCAGAGAGAGAGCCAGGCTTTGCTGAGAACCAGCAGGTTAATATTTTTGGCCGAAGAACATAATGGACTAGACTCCAAATACCTGTCCAACGGAATCTGCTCTGGATATAAGACGAGGTACAGAAGATCTGACTCTTTTGTTAAAAAGATCCGATTAATTAATATAAAAATCAGAACTGGGTAGGCAAAGGGAAGAATTGAGTGGCCCAGTGGGATTTTCAGCATTTATGGTCTTCCTTACAGGGAAATGCAGCTGTATCATGTGGCACTTTTCCAATACTTGCTGAGACAAGTGGGATGAGCCTGCACATTATTCAGTGAGGCAAACAGCCACTTATCCAAGCTCCACCTCTCAACCTCCCCAAGTAAGGTCACTTCCAGACTAGCCCTGAGGGTGTATGTGCAGACCAGGGGAAGTTGGGGGGGGGGAGGTAAAGATAGAGGAGGAGGATCAGAGTGGGAAGGTTATAGGAACCCTAGGTGGTCTGGTATTACCTGACAGTCACCTTGGTCTTGAGACTCTGAGGCAGCCTAGGATAGGGAAAGAGTGGGAAAACATCCTGAGAGTTTAAATATGGTTGACAGGGGAAGGAGGGGACTTATTAAAAATTCCTAGGGCCACTCTGGACTTTAACTCTTAGAACAAACCATGTCCGAATGGAACCTTAAAGACCAGCAGGGCAGTCTCCAAAAGGCATCTTACCCTTGGATGGGACGTAAAATCCCAGGCTGCTCACATTACACTACATTCTTTGTAATGCTGGAGTTATTCAAGAAGCTAGTTCTGAAGTACAGAATCCTTAGATGGGAGAGACCAGAACATAAAACAATATCCCATCAAAGAAAGAACACAGATCAGATTGCAGAGACATTAGATCTTGGTTTCATCAATGACAATGGGCAAAGGGATGAATGTCTGATGAGGCTCAGACTGTCTATGATCACCTGGCCACAGCGTACACATCACCTGTGTGTTAACTTAGCCAGTTAGGCTACAACGCTCTTCCTGGGAGACAAATGCACTCTACTTCTTTAGAAAGCAGGTCTGTCAAACGAGGGGCCAGAAAGACGTGGACCATTTCTGAAGCCCCAGATCCCTTGGAATGTATGCTTTTCTCTACTAGTTTCATAATTTTCAGAAGTAGTTTAGGTAATAACAGGGAGTTTCAGGAAGCAATTTTTTTTTTTTTTAAACAAGCTCTCCTTTTCTGAGATGGCATCACTCTGAAGGAGCTTCCTAGGAAACTATCCAGTTAAATGACACGGAAGGAAGACTACAGGTCCCACTGGAACTGGCCCCCACTTCCTGAGCAGAGTTTGGTTGGGTTAAAAAGATGGCAAAACAAATGACTGACAAACACCAGAGCTGCTGAGGAAATAATGGAAGCACGTTCCTCTTGGTACCAGAAGTGTTCAAATGGACATAAGTGTTCAAGAAGAGAGGAGTCTTGGGTTAAGGAAGGAGACTTCCAGTAGGCACTGGCACAGCTGAGTTCTTGTTGTAGCTTGCCAAAGCCATTACACTCCTTCCTACTAGGAGAAGGCAGTGATAGTAGAGTGATGGTCAAGGCCAGCAGTCTAGGCCATGTTCATTCAGTGGTTTCCGAAAGGCCTTACCTGGGGAAGAGCCAAAGCTGAGAAAGGCAGCTGCTGAAAATTTATTCCAGAAACCCCAGGGAACAAGGAGCCTGGAATCCCTGGACTAACGCCTGATTCTGGACAAGAGAGAAAAAGCCATCGCTGAGGTGTCCGATCAATGGAGGATGATGCAAAAGATGCACCAGGAATGGTCACCCCATTTCTTTCCTTCCTCAGCCTGCCCTCTGTGGCTCTCTTGGCCCTTGGGGCAGTAACCACACTCTGGGCCAAGGCTACAGGCACGGGATTCTAGATTTTAATAAATAAATAACCTAACATATGGTCTATAGTGAGCACGGCGGGCAGCTCTGATTGGAGAAGCAGCTTGCTGGGTTCTTTCCTGTATAGTAGTGGAGAAAGACGTGGAGTTCTATTCCTTAAAACTTCTTCTGGCTTGAGATACAGGAACTTAATACCTGGTGGAAAAAGAAAGATGAGATGGAGATGCCATCAGATTGTGGGGATGCTCGGACATGAAGAGCCTACCTAACGGAGCAGCAGGGAGACAGGGACTTTTCTGGAGTGTGCGGTGAAGGTTGGTAACAGCAGCTCTTTTTCACCTACGTGGAAAAGACCAGCATTTCTCCATAAAGGGACAAGAATCACAGCAAAAAGAGGCAATGGAGAAGGACAATTCAGGAAGAAGAACACTACTGAATGTTCGGAGAAGGCCTCCAAGAGCCCTGTGGGGACGGTGGTGAGGCGGGTGGGTCTACTGCTCTGTGTCCATGTGAATGTGGTGGTAGATGCAGAGACTAGTGGCAGTGCAGGAAGCTCTTCACTACCCAAGTTTCCAGAGTCCCTCCCTGTTTTTTGGAGAGCCCAAGGCACCTGTAGTAATTAGGCTTGAAGGGCCCATTCTTGTTGAGTCCCAGATACTTGGCCTGTTCATCTGTCAGTTCTGTCAGGTGGGCATCAAAGGTTGGCAGGTGTAGGCTCGCCACATACTCATCTGGAACAGACCACAGAATCCCTGGGATAAGCACTCATGCCTCCTGTCTGGCTGCTCTCCTCCAGTCTTAAAGGTAGAGAGATAGCTTCTAACTCCTAGAACCGAATGAGAAATGCTCCACTTTTGCTCACTGACTTTCAATTCTAAGGAATGGTTGCTTTTAGCTTCAAGTCAAGTGCTTTTCAAAGCCATATCATTTCTTCCTTCCTACCTGTTCCAGTCTTGAACCTTTCCTTCTCTTGAGAAAGGTGAAGAAGAGTTAAAAGATTTTAGGGGCTAAAAAAAAGAGGATGTTATGGGGTGGGGAGTAGAAAATGGGAAGCTCAAACTTCAGTTCTTCCTTGAATTATCTATTCTTTGGGTCACTCAGAAAACATAATGTCTCAGAAAATCTGGAAGGAATAACTAATAATGATGTCATATTATTTGCTTTGCTCTTAGTACCCTTAGTTCTTATGGGTTTCTGTTTGCATTCTATTATCTGAATATGTCGAACCCAAACCTATTGCTGTTGAGTCAATTCCAAATCATAGCCACAGAACAGAACTGCCCCATAGAGTTTCCAATGGTTAAGGCCATTTGGCTGCTAACCAATAGCTTGGCAGCTCGAACCCACCAGCTTCTCTGAGGAAGAAAGATGAGGCAATCTGCTTCCATAGAGATTTATAGCCTTAGAAACCTAATGGTGGTTGCTATGGGTCGAGTTGACTCAATGGCAGTGAGTTTAACCTTTATGGAAGCAGAATGTCACATCTTTCTCCTGTGGAGTGGCTGGTAGGTTCAAGTGTCAACCTTTTGGTTAACAGCTGAGCAACATAACCATTGTACCACCAGGGCTCCTTGAAGACATGTTACTTATTCATAATTTTATGTCATTTCTCATATATTTGTTTGATTCCCCCCGATCCACCCAACCCTACTATACACTCAGTGAGAGTAGGGACTATTTTGTTTCTTTGAAACCCTTCCAAAATGTCTACTAAAGGGGAAACATATCACCTTCTAACGGTTGCTATGCATCAAGCGAAACAAAAGCAGAAGCTGATTTGTCCCGATTGCTGCCCTGGGAGTTTACAGACGCCCTGGTCAGTTCAGGTGCCTGAGGCAGGTTCTTTAAACATTTAAGACAGTTTAATGTTTCTCTCATACGAAACACCCCCCGTAACTGACACTCAACAGAAGCCACTCAGAATCTCTCCTTGGGCCTGAAGCAAGGGAGACAGAGTCAGATGCTGTAGTACCAAGTCTCAGTGGTTCTGAGAAAAGTCTGGTGGGGCTATTCAGCAGCCTAGCTCTGGAGTGAGTCAGAGGTCACAAGAGATTCCTCTTCTTTGGGGGAAGATCATTCCTCCTTTAAGATTCCTGCATACGAGATACTTTAAGAGAGAAAATCCTTAAAATTCACAGGCTGGTAAATGTCATGACTTTACTAGTGTGTCCTAGGTAGAAAATACAGTGAACCAACTGGGAATGGAATCTAGGAGGCCGAGCTCCTACTCTTACAAGATAAAGATATCCTGTTTTTAATCCCTAAGGAACTGCACGCCTCCAAAAGTCGTCTGGCCTCTAACTCTGGACTACTTGGCAAGGACGGGGCAGAAATGCATGCTCACCCATTTTCTTGGGCAACAGGTAGACATCCTGCTTATAGCGACCCTCAGGGGCATTGTAGAGCTCAATCAAGGCGAGAGCCTAGAAAAGCAGAGAGGTGGATGCTGACGACCTACCCCACATCAAGTGAAACCCTGATGGCCGGGTAGCACTCTCCAGACCCACTGCTTCCCACTCCGGAGCCTCACCTGGGTCGTAGCCGTGATTGAGAGCACAAATGTAGGCACTGTGGAGCAGCTGAGGTTCAGCAGACGGCCCTGGGAGCAAGGGTTCAGACACAAATGGGTTAGGACAGAGTGTCTGTGCTCTGTGAGGAAAGAGGGAGCAGCACACTGCCAGCTTCCAACCACTCCCAACTACCACTGCGGGCAAAAGCAGGTGTTCCATAGGCGGGAATTGATTGATTGGCATTTAAGTGAAAGCACAAAAAATTCTGGAATTTTCTGCTCTCTGTAGCAGGATACCCTTCTTCTGAGGCACTGGCATTCAGGACTGTTATGCTATCTATACACAGTGATCTAGTCAAATCCAGACTTGAAAGGGAAGATCTGTCCAGGTCAGATTTAGGAAGCTGTGATGATTTTGGTACTTCTTCCTCAGCTTGGTTCTCCTGAATCCAAAAGCAGTCTTGTATTCTGAATGGGTGATTCAGAGAGTACAAGAATCAGAAACCTCCTCCAAGGCCACACTTCCCTATTTTGTTTCTTTGGAAGCCTGATCACCTTTATTTGTTCAACTATAGTAGCCAAGAACAACTGTGAGGCTTGCTCTGGTGTGACCTCCCAGGGCAATTAGAAATAAGGCAGCAGGCTGGCATCAAAGGCATGAATGCATATTTAACAAGCTGCTCAACCCCTCCATACAGACACCCCTGAAGAGATGATTCAGTCCTGTCACAGATGTCCTGAAGTATTTGAGAAGATGAGCCAGGTGAGGAAAAGGTGAAGAGAAGAATAAGGATGGTTAAACATAAATTTATAGGCTCCTAGATAAAGATGGATTTCTTTTACATTTTTCATGTTCAACTTCTTTGATTTAAAAGAGAAGAAAAGAAAGAAAAGCTCACTGAAAATCAAAACTGAAGAAAAGGATGATTATCCGCCTAACACTGTGGTATCTGGCCCTGAAGAGGAGGAAGCTTCAAGGGGTATCATCCTAACTGTCAAGAATGTAGGACTAGAAAAGAAGCTTCCAAGAAAGGAGAAGGGGTCAGGCATGGACACGGAAGGCTAAATGGAATGAAAGTCAAGAGTAAGTCTGAGCTTGAAGAAGAAGATGGGGAAATGTCAATCAAGCAGCCACCAGATAGCTGGGCACCTACTCCATGTCTGGCTTAATTCAGGAAAATGGACCCTCAAAAACTGAGAATCTATCAGCAAAGACATGACTTTTCCAGAGCTTGTCTAAGACAGTTACAGTCAGGAATATCTACTTTGTGCCCAACTGATTAAACCACCCCCCAAATGACATTATCTCTTTGTAAGCTTTGCTCAAAGTAGCACTGGTTCTATCCATTAATTCCTTCCACAGTAACAGTCATTATCTGACTCAACTTGTAGAATGACATGGAGAGACAGGATAATTGGTGAAGAGTGGAGAACCAAAATAGTTTCTTAATTGCTGAATGAAAAGACTTCACAAGTAGAAGTAAAATCCACGGTAAAGGAGTTAAACTTGTGCTTGAGAGCAGTTGGAAGTCTGAGAGAACATGAGGAGGCGGATGGGTACGGCACCCTCTCCTCAGCCTGTCCTGTCTCTCCCCACCCGCCCCCAGGTCTTACCTCTGCCAGCAGCACTATCCTCTTGCCATCTGGCCATATTACATGGTCCACTTGGGATCTCACTCGCTCCCAGGTCAGCTCTGGTGTCCGCAGACTTGCCTGGAACACATCAGTAAGTGCATCAGCCGCAGCAGGGTCCCCTTTGCGGATGGAAAGACGTCGAAGGGAATCATTTCAAAGAGCAACTTGAAAGGAGCAACCGACATGCCAGATGGAGAGTACCTGTCCTGGGTTGGTTAGGACTGTTCCATTTCAGGGAATTTAATCTTAGGCCCAGCCAGGGAGGAATCACTCAGGATGCCATTCCACAACATACACTGTATGCCCACTCTCTGCTGAGCACAGTACAAGGTGCTATGGGAAATACAAAAGAAACCAAAGACGTGGTTTCTGCCTTCAGAAAGCTTACACTTTAGTTGGGCACAAAATAATACTTATGTGTGTGTGTCGGGGGGGAAAGCTTTCAAAATACTTACAAGGGCAACATGCAAACAAGTGCAAATCGATACAGTGCAAATGGGATATGCAAGTGCTGAAGGGACACAGGCAAAAAGGAGGCTCAGAGCTGAGGGGATTAGTTCGAGAAGGCGCAGTGTCCCAAACACAGCATGCCGGGCCTAGGGCTCTGCTCTCGTGTTCCAACGTCCCCCGTTCCACCTTCTCAACGATGGTGGTTCACCCTAAAGTTAAAGAAGCTTTGTGACCTAAGTGCAAATGTGAGGTAGCCTTTAAAAAAATGCATAATGGTCAAGCTCCCAGAGGCTCACCCTCTTTCCAGTTCTGTGTATTGTGTATTCAGAGAATAAGAGAAGAAATGGTAAGTTTATTAAAGCAGCAATCAGGTAATAGTCACCAAGTGTGGGCTTAAGACAACTCCTTCTTCCAGAGGCAATGTCTAAAGAAGAAATTCCAAAACTACCCATTGGCTCCTTGGTGAAACTGAGAAGGTCTCCTAAGGAGTAGCAGTTTACCAACAAATAAAGAGAAACATTTTAGTTGTATAATCGTGTATCATCTACTGAGTCATTTACCATGTTTTAGTCATAGTGGTAAAGAGCTCTGGTGGTGCAGTGGTTAAAACATTTGGCTGCTAACCAAAAGGTCGGTGGTTTGAACCTACCAGCCACTCAGGCAGTCTGATTCTGTAAAGACTGATGGCCTTGGGAACTCTATGGGTTTTACTCTGTGCTATAGGGTTGCTATGAGTGGGAATCAGCTCCAAGGCAGTGGGTTTGGTTTTGTTTTAGTTGTTACAGTAAAGGGCACATAAAAAAAACAAAACAAAACAAAACAAAAAAAACACTATGGGCTGCTCCACTAGGCTGTGAGATATTTACGAGCAAGAACCTGATTTTCTTGTCATTTTTGTATCTCCCAGGTCTGCCTGACATACAGTGGGGTATTCAATGAATGTTCAGAAATTCATGGCACTTGTCCCAGAGGAAGTAGCAATCTAGTGGGAGAGATAGATACATAATTATGTATCAGTGAATTCAGGACACTATTAATGTGGTATGGCCCTTTTCTTCATTAGTTAGATGGGAAACATATCTAGAATTTCCTGATATGATAAGCTGTATAAATTGGTTCAACTTTTCAATTTGGTAGTAGCTAGCAAAACTTTTTATGTACCTGAATTTTTACAAAAAAAAATTCACTTTTAAGGCTCCATCCCACAGAAATACTTGCTCAAGTTCAGAAATATAATTACCCAAGAATGTTAAATCTAGCATTATTTGTAACACCAAAATTTGTCAATCAACAAGAGAATGGCTAAGTAAATCAGGATAGTTTCTTACAGTGTAGAAGCAGGCAGATTTTAAAAATGTACTTATATTGTATTCAAAAGGGTTTAAGTAAATGGATCATTTTGGGAGTTAGGGATATACAGAGTAAATCCCTCAGCCTTTGGAAACATCCCATGGATGGCTATAGCTATGGAGAACCAACAGCTACTCCTTGGGGACACTGCCATTTCTATCAGCTGAGATGACAGCACTGAATCAGGTTCTTGGTATTTCATATCTCTGGTCTCCCACAGACAAGCCATCTCGAAGACTGGAAGCAAAGGTCTGACAACATGGAAGAAGAGTCTACTGTCTCAGGAAGTATTTTTTGGAAAAATGATTATAGTGGAATCAAGGAAAGGACACTTCTTATGAGCATAATAAAATGATCGATGCTTAGTAGAAGCAGTTTAGTACAGCACTAGAATGGCTTTGGGGGCAAATAAAAGACCTAAGGGTCAGTTTATAAAAAGGGCTCGAAGAGAAACTGGGTTGAATTATCTCTAGCACTGTCCAAGGGAGCACCTAACTGTGAAGGTCCACGGGACAGGCCACGCTCCACTAGGGAGCACGGAGTTTCCTGGGGCCAACACAGTTTTACAGGCATCTCTCTTAAGACATCCAATTGTTTTTGCTCCGGATTTACAATCAGCAAGCAATCTACCAGGGGAAGGGCTCCCTTTGCAGACTACCCTCCCAAACTAGGTACATGTCCTGCTGTAAACAAGTCAGTTGTCATCCCTGAACTTATCAAGCTTCTCTGATTTCAAACCTTGCACATCAGTTTCTTCATGGGGAACAACTGTGGTTCTAGTCTCACAAAGCATGGAATTAATAGCATTACTACATGGTAATTCATAGGCTGGCAAAGGCATATGTACGTAATAGTTTACACACTTGAATTTTGAAGCTCACAGTCACACAGGCCTTCTATGTGATGCATATGGATAAGTAGGTCTGCTTTCTAGAAGAAAGAAATATGTAATAGCAAGGCTTGGCCCAGGGCAGCTAAGAGTACAATGCCTGTCACAGGGTCCCCAAGGCTCACAGCATGGATGTTTCTCAGAAAGGAATGTAGCTTTCTAAGTGACCAATTCTTTCTATAAACTATGTTTTAAAAGATTACAATAGCGTAATCTTTTATAACAAAGTCAAATTTGGTCCTTTACCTGCTCAAAACTTTCCAACTGTTTCCCTCACACCTGGAATGACATCGGAAGTCCCTACGATGGGAGACAGGGCTCTACAGAACCCACTACGCCTCCTTGAGCTGTTTCTTATTTTCACCCCTTGTTCGTTCTGTTCCTGCCACAGTGGCCTCTTTTCTGTTCCTCCACGCAGCAAGCCTGTTTCCATCTCAGGGTCTTTGTACCAACCATTCTCTCTGCACAGAGCTCTGATGGCTGGCTCTTTCACGTATTCAAATATTTGTTCAAATGCTTTCCTTCCTTGAATATCCTAATTAAAACAACATCTTCTATCATTCCATATGTCCTCACCTTGCTCTTCAGTACTAAACACTGACAATGTATGTCTACTTGTTTATTGTCTGTTTCCCTCACTAGAATATAAGCTCCCTGACAGCAGAGATGTGTTCACTTCCATTTCATCAGTCAGTTAGCACTTGACATAGACTACAGCAAGATGCAAAGTTGCTAAATGCAATACAAATTTGCCAAATAGTGAATGAACATTCTGGTTTCAACTCTCAGTTGAGTTTGCTAGTTTTTAAAATTTCATGCTACATGTCCTGTGACATGACGACTGAAGACTGAGTAATTTAACTTATTTTTTTATTGTGGTAAAATATATATAACAAAATACTGCCATTTTAACCATTTTAAATGTACAATTTAGTAACATTAATTACCTTCACCATGTTGTGTCACCATTACCCTAATTTCCAAGTTTTTCATCACCTCAAACAGAAACTCAGTAATACTAAGTCCTAACTCCTAACTCCTCTCTCCCCTCAGCCCCAGTAATCAGTAACAGCCTTTGTCTCTATGGATTTACCTGTTCTAGATGTTTCATATAAATGAGATAATCAAATATTTATCCTTTTGTGTCTGGCTTACTCCACTGTATGGATACTGTGATAGCTGGAGCTGTGTGTCAACTTGGCTGGACCACAATTCTGTGTGGTTTAAGCAGTTGTGATATGGTTATTCCCATGAGGGGATCAGATGTATATGTTTTGAGCAGCCAATCCACTGAAGGGGAGTTTCCCTACGGGTGTGGCCTGCTTCCAGTATATTTATGGACATCCCGGGAAAAGAGACACTCTTCTGTGGATCAGGATTCTGTTGTGCTGCCTACAACTGTCCGTGAGCAAACAATTCACCATTCGGCCTGGAGATCTTGGATTTGTCATTCGTTGGAGTCAACAGCCAGTATACTGCCTGCCAACCTTGAGCTCCTCAGCCCCTGCAGCTGCAAGAATCAGGAAAAGCCTCCAGCTTGGTGTTTGATCCAAGAACTTTGGACTTGCCAGCTTCTATAAGTGTGTGAGCCATTTTCCTAAGATAAATTTCTCTTTCTGTCTCTATATAAGCTTTACTGGTTTTGCTTCTATAGAGAACCCAGTCTAACACAGATACACTTTATGTATCCATTCAGTTATTAATGAATGATGGGGTTGTTTCTACCTTTTAGCTACTGTGACTAATAGTACAAGGAACATTGGCATATAAGTATCTGTTTGAGTTTCCTGCTTTTAAATCTTTGGGTTATATACCTAGGAGTGGAACTGCTAGACAATATGCTAAGTCTATTTTTTAAACTTTTTTGAGGAACTGACCAAACTGCTTTCCACAGCAGCTGCGCCATTTCATGTTACCACCAGCAATGAATAAGGGTTCCAATTTTTCTCCACATCTTCACCAACACTTGTTCTTTTCCTGATAACAGCCATCTTAGTGGGTGTGAAGTGGTACCTCCTTTTGGTTTTGATTTGTATTTCTCTAATGATAAATGGAATGAGCTCTGATGGCATAGTGCATTAAAGCATTTGACTGTTAACCAGAAGATTTGTGGTTCAAACCCACCAGCCACTCTGCAGAAGGAATCTTCTGTAAAGATTTACTGCCTCAGAAACCCAATGGGTGTTGCTATAAGTTGGAATTGATTCGATGGCAGTTAGTTTAATTTGGTTTGGTTAATGACTAATGAGAGCCTTAGTAATGACTAATGCTTACCTAGTAATCAAAAAGTTGGCTGTTTGAACCCACCAGCTGCTCTGTGGGAAAAAGATATGGCAATGTACTCCTTGGAAGCAGACTGGAAACCCCATGGGGCAGTTCCACTCTGTTCCATATGGTCACTATGAGTTAGAATCAACATGATGGCAGCGGGCTTAGGCAATGACTAATGATGCTGAGCATTTTTCATGTGCCCAGTAGCCATGTGAATATCTTCTTTGGACAAGTGTCTATTCAAGTTCATTGACCTTTTCTTTTTTTTTTTTGATTGGATTGTCTTTTTGTTGTTGAATTATAGGAGTTCTTTACATATGCTGAATATTAAATCGTTATAAAATATATGGTTCCTAAATATTTTCTTCCATTCTGTAGGTTGTCTTCATTTTCTTGATAAAGTCCTTTGATACACAAAAGTGTTTAATTCTGTTGAAGTCTAATTTCTCTATTTTTTTTTTCTTCTGGTGTAATATCTAAGAATTCACTGTCAAAATTGTGAGGGATGGGTCCAATTTTACTGTCAGTTAAACTTTTCAAAAGCCCTTCTGAGCATCTCTCTGCACCATTCAGTTTAGAGATCTATCTTCTACTGAGAAGAGGACAAAGGGTTCTTGGATCTTGTCAGCAGACAATACTGGGGTGATCCGGCAGTACCTGCAAAACTAGGTTTATTCTCAACACAATGGCTAGGGTGATCCTTTTAAAATAAAATCACCTTCTTAAAATGCCCCATGCTCATTCTGATCCAACCACACTGGCCATCTTGTTTCTCAAACAGACCAGGCACATGTCAGGGCATTTGTACTGGCTCCTTTCTCTTTCTGAAATGTTCTTCACTCAAAAACCCACATGGCTAATTCCTTCAAGTCTGCTCGTGTCTCACCTTCCTAATGAGGCTTATTTTGATCCCTTTATTTAAAGGGACAACTCTGCACCCTCATGCCCCTTGACATGCTCTACTTTTTTTTCTTTCCTTAGTGCTTTTGACATCGAACCTACTACAGATTTGCTGATTCGATATGTTACTGTCTTTCTTCTCACTAGAATGCAAGCCCCGTGAGGGCAGAGGTCTTTGTTTATTTTGTTCACTGACTCCAAGGATGCCAAGGCTAGCCCGGCATACAGCAATCCCACAATAAATACTTGACTGCAGGTAATGAGTCTCCTGGCCTTTGTCCTGAGAGCCTTATGTTTTGGGCTGCATTGGGCAGTGAGACAGGTTCATGCATCACTGTTTGAAGGTCATCTAGAAATCATGACAAAGGTAATAGTACAACATACGGGAGAAGGGGAAGACTGGACTGGAGTTAAAAAAAAAAAACAACAACAAAAACCCTGGATTTTGTGTTCCAATTTCATCTTGAAATCAATGTGTATAACTGAATAACGCACTTCTTAGTTTCTCATTTGAAAATTAGGAATTAGAATAAATTCTCACTGAGTAGTCAAAAGGATAAAATGAGATAAAGTAATTTTTTATATCTGAAAAATACAGAAGTTGTAAGACAGTGTTCTGTGTCATTTTTGTTTCAGAACCTCTGAACAGCTCAGTGAAAACTCCTTCTCCTCCTGCTGCCGTGGACATGTCTCTGCAGGCCCAGAGCACAGTATTTCTCTTTAGGTGTTTCCCATCGGGGGCTCTCTAAGCAGATTAATCCAGGAGTGGACAATCATGTACTGACGGCAGTTTTAAAAGAATGACAATCTTTGAGTATTTAGCAGTACGGAGTGGCCCACTGAAAATATTCACTGTAAGCAAATATCCTGGTAAGGCAGAATAATGGAGCTATGCTACTCAGATACCCGAAGGATAGAAATAGGATTGGGTCAGTTGTTTTCCCAGCTATTTTTAATTACATAAGAATAGAGTACAGGGTTAAAAAGAGAAGCCATTTAAGGCTATCCCACAGGCTCTCAACATATCAAGTGACCCTCACCTGGCAATGCTGACGCTCAATCAGAGCAGCCCTCAGTGGAGATGAAAGCATGCTTTGCTTGAGCCTGTTACCCACAGAGGAATGCGATTGTGCCGAAAAAATGCCATGAAAAGTTAAAATCACAGTGAAAGTCACCATGAAAGACACTTTGGTAAATCTGAAGGAAATGCACAACACTTCTGTTAACTACCGATTGGGCAACTCAGGAGGCCCAGTGCTATACTGGATTGGAAAATGTTAGCATGAATGTGATCCAACTAGAAAACCAAAGTGGTAAGTGTGCCAGGTTTGAGGATCAAACAGTATTACACAATGGCACTGCACTGCTTGTAGCACCTAGAGACCCAACTGCTACAGTCTGGGAAATTAAGAAGGTATCTAGCCCAATGAAAGAAGCAGAAAAACTGTAGCATCTGACAAACACGGTTCACTTTAAGCAATGGTCTTATCACAGCCCACAGATTCTTCTCCCCTGACTTGTCCTTAGCCCAACATTCTTCTCTCATTTTTATGGTGAAATCATACATTCCCAAAACTAACTACTATAATGACTCAAATTCACTGTAACTTTTTGGTAGTTTTACGCTTAGCTAGCTCAACTTAAACATACCCTGGTGACACTATAATGGCTTACAGTGTGAGGAGGTATCAAGCTTGGGTGGAAAAGGACAATCATTTGAAATGACTAAGTTGAAAGGAAGAATCTCCATGGTATCCACAAACACAGGCCATAGGGCAGTAAGCGAACAGCTGAGGACATCTCTGCCAGGACAGCCATGTTTAGGGTAGTTGGTGACTGTGCTCTTTCCTCTTCCAGTTTATGTTTCTTGGGAAGAACAGGGAAAAAAAAAAGTCTCCAGGAATGAACCACTCGTTCTTACCACATCAATCTCTGTGTTGGAATGTCCCATGTTACACACAATGCAGCTGTTCTTCATGCGGTCCAGGTGCTCTCTGGTTACCACATTCTTGTTGCCTTGAAAACAGAGGAGAACTCATATAAATGCAAAGGAATGAAGCTGGACCCCTATATCACACCCTACACAACAATGAACTAAAAAAGGATCATACATCTGAACCTAAGAGCTAGAACTACAAAGCCTCAAAGAAAACACAGGTGTAGATCCACATGACCCAGGGTCAGGCAATGGTTTTTAGGGTATGACACCCAAAGCTCAAGCCAAACCAAAACCTCACCTATTGCCGTCAAGTCAATTCTGACTCGTAGCAATCCTGCAGGCAGAGGACACTGCCTCCTAGGGTTTCCAAGGGTGCAGATCTTTATGGAGGCAGACTTCCACATCTACTGCCGTCAAGTCAATTCTGACTTGTAGCAATCCTGTAGGCAGAGGACAACTGCCTCCTAGGGTTTCCAAGGGTGCAGATCTTTATGGAAGCAGACTTCCACATCTTTTCCCCATGGAGTAGCTAGTGGGTTCAAATCACTGACCTTTCAGTTAGCAGCCAAGTGCTTAGCCACTATGCCACCAGGGCTCCTTAAAGGAGGGACAATAAAGAAAAATAGACAAATTGGACTACTTCAAATCAAAATCTTTTGTGCTGCAAATGATAACACCAAGAAACTGAAAAGACAACCCAAGAATGGGAGAAAATATTTGCAAATCTGATAAGGGGCTTGCATGCAAAATACAGAAAGAACTCTTAGAATACAATAATAAAAAGACAAGAAATCCAATTAGAAACTGGCAAGGGAGAAATATGTATTTCTCCAGAGAAGATATACAACTGACCAATAAGCACATGAAAAAATGTTTAACATCAGTAACAAAACACAAATCAAAACCACAATAAGATAAGACTTCACACCCACTAGGATGGCTATAATTGAAAAGACAGATAATAACAAGCGTTGGTGAGGATGTGGAGAAATCAGAATCATCATACACTGCTGGGGTAGTAAAGGGTGTAGTCACTCTGAAAAACAGTTAAGCAATTCCTCAAGATGTTTAAAAAGCAGAGCTCCCATTTGATCCAGCAATTCCATTCCTAAGCATAAAGCCAAGGGAGTGGAAAATATTATGTTCACATCATAACCTGTACATAAATGTTCATAGCAGCATTATAGAGAACAGGTAAAAATGAAAACAACCCAAATACCCATCAACTGATAACTGGATGACTAAAATGTGGTATATCCATAGAGTGGAATAGAATGTTATTCACTTGTCAGAGGGTAAGAAGTACTGATACGGGCTACAACATGGGTGAACCTTGAAAACATATGCCAAGTGAAAAAAAGGGTGAATTGTATGGTATGTGAACTACATCTTAATAAAGCTATTTATAATAAAAAGAAAATAAAGAAATGGTGATGGTTGCACAATATGATGAATGTATGGTAGCATAGTGGCTAAGGCACTTGACTGCTAACCAGAAGGCTGGTGGTTCAAATCCACCAGCCACTCCTCAGAAGGAAGATGGGGCAATCTACTTCCATAGTGATACTGCCTCGGAAACCCAAGGAGGGGTCGCTATGAGTCGGGTCTGACTCGACGGCACACAACAACAACAACAACAACAACAACAAATACTTAAATGTGTTAAAATGGCAGATTTTTTTTGTCCCACTTTCTCTAACTATGAAGAATTTTGCTCTAGCCTAACCTTGATTACAGAGACTAGACAGAAATACACTTGATCACTTTGGGAAGTAAAATAAAATATCAAATGCACAAATTTAAGATCTGGCTTCCCAAATAAAACTCTGCAAATGAATCTCACGTCTGCCCATCCTGCAGGTAGCCGAGGATGGATGAAGATAAAGGACAGTTATAGGGAATGGAGAGAAACTTCCCTACAGGGACGACCCAGTGGTAGGTTTGTGGCCAGTGGTCTAAAGAGGCAGGAGAAATGGAGGCCTGACTGGTTCTGAAGAGTTTGGTTCCGTCCAGAACTTTTCCAGTTATTTTTCACTTGCTGCACAGAAGTGTCCCAAGTGCCACTTATTTTATCTGTCATAATCGTACCTGTACAGGTAATAACTATGTCCACTTGTCGGATGACCTCATTTAGTTTCACCAGTCGAAATCCATCCATGCTGTAGAAATAGAGCACAATTGATTAACCTAACCAGGCAGCTGGGGAGCCTTTTGCCAGAGAACCTCAAAAGGGATTGCCAAGTCCCTTTGGTACCTACTGTCACTTCTAGAAACAGCTAAGCTACTCTTGGTTGTGAAAACTCCAAACCATTTCCTAGTTCATACAGGACATAAGTAAAAGGTCCTTTTGCATTACTAGAACTTGTTTCTTCCTGGTAATAGGGAGCCAGGGATTATCATGAAATACCCAAACAGAGTTTGTAGAAGTGCCATGGAGCCACTGAACCTACTATTCCATTGCAATCACTCTCCTAAGACCACCAAGGATATTCTGAATGCTGAAACCAATACTATTTCATAAGTCCTTATGTTACTTGAATTCTTCTGTTATATTTAATGTCATTTGCCTTCTTACTCCTTGGACTCATGATGCCATTTTCTTCTGGTTTTCCTCCTGCTTTTCTGATGCTGGTATTCTGTAAGGCTCTGCCCTTAACACTTTTCTCCATTCTTGCAACACCACCCATACCCTCTCCTCAGCTGCAATGATCACCTATAGGTGGCTTATAACACATATAAGTATCTTCAGTTTAGATCCCTCTGAGGCTTCAGAGCCATGAATTACATTTTCCACCGGATAGCTCCTCATGGATCCCACAGGATCTCAAACTTACTGTGTTGGAAAATAAACTCATTATGCTTTTCATACTCCGAATTCATCTGTTTTGCCTTCTGTTTTCAACCTTGATCAGTGGCATCACTGTTCACCCAACTGTACAAGCCAAATACACTAGAATGTTCTAGCCTGCTTCCTCTCCCTAATTGAATCTGTCACTAACTCTGGTTGATTCTTCTTCCTCAATTCCTTATAAAACTTCTTGAATCTGTTCCCTCTTCTCCATCCATGCTGGCCTTGCTTAAAGAAACTCAGATCTCATTACTTCTTGCCTACCACAATAGCCCTGGCCCAATCTCACTGCCTCTAGTTTGACATCTCTTTAATTCAGTCTGTAGTTTACCTAAATACAATTTGGATCTTGTCACTTCCTTGCTTAAAACACTTGAGTGAGACTGCCCTTTTGTTCTTAGGGTGAGATCCAAATAGTTAGACTGATATACATGCAAAACCGTTCATGATTCTATTTCAGGAGGTAACATATGACCAAGAACTGGTGGTACTGAAGGAAGAAGTACAAGTGGCACTGAAGGTAATGGTGAAAAACAAGGCTCCAGGAATTGACAGAATACCAACTGAGATGTTTCAATAAATGGATGCAATGCTTGAAATGCACCCTTGTCTATGCCAAGAAA